AATGACTTTATTGAGCCGACAAAGGTTGACTGTTTACTTCAAGTTATTTATCTTGGAATGAGGTGTGACGACATGCCCGTTGTTCGCGGCAAAGTTTTTTTGAGTGTGGAGTTCGCAATGCGGCCGACCGAAAATACTTGGGTGACGCTGTGTGTGCAATATGTTTTCAAGATTCGAAAAGAAGTCAGTGCATGACTTGGATTGAAATCAGTAGAGAAAAAACTGAATCTTCGAATGATGTGGATTTTGGGACTTCATCCAATTACACGAATGCCATTTATGTGAATTTCACTTTGAATAGGAATGAATTACTAACTTTTATTCCGGCTGTAATGATTTTTATGATAAGCAAAATTTTCGTAGCAAATGTTGAAATTAATTTCTTATTATCCCCATGTAATGTAGTTTTTGAATTAAGAACTATAAAAAAATACGAGTAAAACCGATAGAGTTCCTTACGGATGGATATATTCGACTGGCGGGGAGTTTATTTTTCGACGGAAATGCATGCTTTTACGGATTGATATTCAATGATAACCCCTATGAGAGGAAATATACTCGAGATGACTTGGACTCATTCAAGGAGCTTCTGGAATTGACTGGCGTTCACAGAAACGCAATAACATGTATGAAAGTTACAAATGAACAGAAATACAAGAATAACATCAAACCAATGTTCACTTTCGTCGGTAGTATAGGGTTTTCTAGCCTCATACATGTCCAACGAACTTTCGACGATACTCACTTGACATATAATGACAATCCGATGCAGTACAATTGAGACGATTCCAATGAATTGGTTGTTCCCCTGAAGCTTTTAGTATCTTCAGAACGAGCAGGAAATACGTCCTATGACAACGAAATAGTAGCCATCATCAACTAATTGCGAAAAGACTATATCATAGTGTGAATGGTCGAATGATGCATCGTTTACGTCATGAGTGTTGACGAATTCGTACATCGTACCGATGCACGGAGAACTGGTACTCCTACACATCTAGTATATATTCCTCCAGCATTACACCGACGGAGACATATACATTGGATCTGTGAAAATCAACAACTTGAAAAAGCCGTTTAATAGCGATGCCTCCACTAAGCAGTACGTAGATTCGCGGAGTATCAGTTGGCAACGCTGTCTACTTTAACATACTGATGACGTAATTGCGCCTACCAGTAGAGTTTTAACTAGAGAAATTGAAACATTTTAGACATGAAAAAAACAACGTCGCATATATTTTCGACCTTCGAAGAAGTTGACTTGAAACATTTAAGTGAACGGTAAAATTACGAATAGGCTGCACCCGCCGAAAAAAAAGTTTTGTACTTGTATTTTGACGTGTAGATTACGAATCCGAATCCACATAACCGTCACATCTTATATCCCCTTCTTTGACACTTTTCAATTCAGTAATCAACAAAATCCCTTATAATAGTATATTATGCAACGATCATATAATGATGTATTAATACACGAGCATTAACCGGGATACGAAATGAGCCGAAAGCGAGTTTTGTATGGTTTATGCTAGTATATTAATAACCATCACATGAGAGTTGCATACGCTGTTTTTTCTACATCCGATAAATAACAGAGAACCATAAATATTACATTTATATTGAACACAATAATAGTAATTACTCGTGATTTAAAAAAAAATTCTTAAAGATATCAAGATTATTTATTGTGGAGTTTAAGGGTTTATGCCAGGTCTCACTGATCTGAAAGTGGAAGGTTTTGCTTTTGTTTCATTACTGCTAGTCTCAATAGAGTTCAGTATTGTATTGAAAATGCTGATTTTATTCTGAACCAAATTTTCGATGTAGCCTTGTGCCACTGTGTTGGATTTCCAGCTATCATGTTAGAATGCAGTAATGTAATCACCGGCATCAACTAATACTGTTACAGATGTCCTTCGAAAACGATGCCTTGCTTCCATAAATTACCAAATTTATTAATGTTTTGAATTATGTATTTCAATAAAATAATCAACGAAAAAAAAAATGGGGTGGGGCAAAGTTTCGGCTGTAGATTTATATATTTTTTACTAATTTCGTATTGTTTGCCGGTAATTAATTGTAAATGTTTGTTGTACTTTTGTTTCAGTTTCTACCACATTGACCATTCATATCTTTGACATTTTCACAATTTAGGTCTTGTAGTTCATGCCTTCGGCATGTTCCCATTATTCCAAAAATACTGCTACCTAGAACAAAAAAAATTATTAAAAAATACAACAATGAGAACTAGCTAGTAGCCCGTTTTGATACGAGTTACCGTAGTAAGTTTTCTCGAAATTGCAAAATGCAATGTTAGATTTTCATTTGTTCAGGTGAAATAATTTTTTGATTTTTTTTCCAACATATCATTTGGACAATCGCTTTAATGAAGCTTGTAACTTCTTATATTCAGAAATGTGTATATCATGGTAGATATTCACCAACGTTTTTATAAGTGAAAGATGTGTTCACGTACTAGATGGTTTCATTCTTGAAAACACAGAAGTATCTATTTTGTAAATAACTTTTCAATACAAATCATGAAATTATGAAATAACAAAAATTAATTGGCGCTCCGGGGCGACTTTGAATCCAGTGGCGTATTTGCTTTTTCAGCTGCAGGAAAACACGGAAAAACCTTCAGCACCACATCATTTTCTAAGAATGTCGAAATATCATATTGTAACGAATCTGAAGCCGCCCCTGACTGATATCTCAGCCAGCGAATAGATGCATGACTCGTCGCGAAAGAATGCAGTCTGAAGCAACCGCGAAAAGTCTAGGCCAGTCCCGAAACGACTACAGAATTCTACGATGGACCTTTACCGATATAAAAGGCCGGCTTCTCGTTCAGAAAGGGCAGTATGAATTCAGAAAGCGAATCGAGCGGTTAAACAAGGAATTCGAATACTGAAGATGAATTAAGCGTTAGTTGCTGAGTTTTGAAAATAAATTAGTTTGTGATAGTGAAATATTGTTAGAAATAAATTTGTTTAAGACAGTAAATTCTTTAATTTGTTACAATATGTATTTGTCCGGACCATATTAGATTTCTGTGGTAAAATATTTTGTACTGTATTTTCTGCTTTCTCCGATATGTATGGAGTCGATATTAATTCTTCTATATCGATAATGTCAGACATTTTGAAAATTCAGTTATTGAAGTTCAACTATATTCTATGAAAATTTGACACCTACTGATTTTGACGAATAAAACAATTGGAAAGCTAGACAAACGGCGATTCCACAGCATGCTTGATTAAAAAATTATGGGTTTCTATTGATTAAAAATCTGTATCATTAAGAAACTAATTTTGGGCATTAAAGTGTATTATTGAAATACGGGTATATAAAAAAAAAACGATTGACGGAACTGCTTTTTTCCGGAATGTCACTAGTATGATAAGTATAACGTTATAATATAGATGTTATCAGAAAACGAATCCATTGTTATATCAAGTTTTCTGAAGAAACTATTGTGATTGATAAACTGAAGAGTGTCGAAGAAAGTGGAATAAGGTGTGAAGATGATGTGGTGAATAAATACTTGTGATTCTATAATTAGTATTGTGCAGAAGGCTGAAAAGTTTGATAACCTTTGGATAGGTGTAACTCAGGAAATAAGGGATAGCATTGAATTTTTCTTTCGGATTCGTAACCCAAACATCAAAATATGTAGGTGCGCACATTTTTTTTTTTAAATCGGCGGGTACAGCCTTTCCGAAATTGCAACGAATAAACAAGTGAAATTTGACTCTAGTAAGATGACGCTATTGGAGGGTGGAATTACGTTATTTCTAAAGAAATAGTTCGAATTCAATGCATCCTTCAAGACAACCACCAACCATGCACAGGCGAATGATACTTTGCCATCCTTCAAAGACGAAACACCAAGTTGTTGATGAATTGCACAAAAATGCTCGTAGAAAGTTTCCGAGACGCCATTACATTATTCGAGGTCTGGATAAAACATGGCAAATGGATTTAGCCGATATGCGACTATACAAATCACAGAATAGCTATCACACTATGATTATTGTTGTAATTGATTGTTTTGAATTTCAATACTGTAGAAGGTAAACATAAGTAGATCATTGAGGAGGCATAGTGAATAAGTTATGTTAGAATTAAGTTTGGTTTAGAAGTGGGTAATGTATAAAAGATACATAAAAAGTAGTTGCTTTCTGTATGCCGAGCTGGAGTATCTGAAGTATGGCGGCCAGTGGATATTTGAGACAGTTGAACATTGAACAATTGAAATTATTTTTTTGTCTTGCCTAATTTAAGGCTCCTACGAAGTTCTTGAGGAATTCTGAAATTCATCAGGGCCGTAATGAAGAAAGTATATTGCATTCAATAGTAATCAAATAACTGAAACCCACAGGAGTCTCGAAAAAAATGTAATTCAACGATAGTATAAGAACAGAGTCTATTAAAATATAGCTACAAAAAGTGCAGGTCCGTGTTCAAAATGCCAAGTCTGACGACACCTTATACCTTATATTCTTATAGTCCAATCGAAGTTACAATGGCAAAGTATAAATGGAATTTCAATATATCAATACTTTCAATAATTTCGATGTTTTCCATTGTCTGATGACACCTTATACCTTATATTCTTATAGTCCAATCGAAGTTACAATGGCAAAGTATAAATGGAATTTCAATATATCAATATTTTCAATAATTTCGATATTTTCCAGATTTTTGGGTATCATTGAATAGTACCCAAAAACAGAGAACTTTGTCTCAATTCAGTCTACTCTCTTGATGTTGACGAGATCCCCATGATACACTAAAATATAAATAGCCCTGTATATAGCACTATGTAGAGATTAAGTATTGAAAACGACTGAACAAGCTATTACCGCGGTTTGTGAACTGTTAAGTGGAAATTTCCCAATGAAATGGATATCATGGATATTCATCAAATCACATTTATTTCAGTTAAAAAATATTTGAAGATAATTTTAATAATTTTCAACTCTATATCTTTTCAGATGAATCATGTGAATCTATATCAGAAATGACCGGTAAGTTTTATAAGGAAGTTGAAAGTGGGAATCATTGTGAGCTAGTGGACGATGGTGAAGAGATAAAAGAAAGGGCCTGTGATTCTTTGCGAATGTGCATAATAACTACATTAAACCAAGGCTTGAGAAATGGCGGTGGAATCGGTGATATACTGAGAGCTCCCAGTAATGAGGTAACTATTACTCCAAAGTGAGCAATAGGTTTCTTGCAGTTTCTGGAATTTTTCAACTTCACACAATCTTAGAAATAAACCAAGGTAAATCAACATAGGATCTGCCAAAGTGTAATAGGTTACTACATAAAATAAACCACTCAGGAACTTGTCATGTTTATAAATTTTACCTACAAATTGAAAAACTGACGAAGACATTTATATACTTAGGTTTCTTCAAAATGGTTTACGTTTTTCAAATATTTTCTAAATTGTAGGTAATATATTAGAGTATAAAAAAATTGTACTTTAGAAGTGAAAATCATACAATTACTGTATTACAAAAAAATTGTCATTATTATGATACAAGTGGGGAATAGGAGCGGGCGTATCTCTTATTATACTATAGTTCGCGTTATCACATCACAATAAAGGCCATATTCACTCACGGTTCACTGTAATTTTTTACGCCGGTAATTTGTTTACCAACGCCTTAGTTCCTTTCCCAGTCAACTCCATATGATAATTGATGTTCCTCTTGAAGATGATCACTTGGTGATCGAAACACGTGTCGATGTGTTAAAATAACGTTTGGTGTTGGGAAGAAGTTTCAGTAATATTCCTTATGATATGCTACCCTTTAATTAGTGTGAAGTTACCCATAACTTTTCATCCAAAGTTTATGACGAAGGACAATCGAACAGGGTTTAGAATGAGATTTGCGAACAGTGTTGCCAGATTGCAAATATTGAGAATTTTACCTGTATTTCGATGTTATCATTTTAAAAACACGATATATTATTGAAACATGTCGAATTAATGAGTCACCATCTGAGGATTTTTCCAGCNTTTCAAATGACATACTTTTTACAAGTCATAAAATTTTTACCGAGAAACTATTTTTCCAGTTCTCATTCGCTACCTGTTTCGGTACAAATGAATTTTTCCTGAATAATATTTTACTCTTATTTCACATTTTTTTCGGTATTACTGCTTGTATACGGACAGTTGGCTGATATAATGAGTTTATGTAGAATGCTGACTCATTTATTCGACATGTTTCAATAATATATCGTGTTTTTAAAATGATAACATCGAAATACAGGTAAAATTCTCAATATTAGCAATCTGGCAACACTGTTCGCAAATCTCATTCTAAACCTTGTTCGATTGTCCTTCGTCATGAACTGTGGATGAAAAGTTGTGGGTAACTTCACACTAATTACCCTTTATTGGTCAATGGAACACTGTTCTAGGTACGATTCTACTCGAAAGTGCTTCCGCTTGAATTCAGTCTACACTGAGCCTATTGATTACTGTTGATGTATTTTGGTTCAGTTGCTCAAACTGCTTGATAAACGTCTTTGTTCATAGTCCAGTGTGTCTGGGGCAAAACAGTATAACTGCCAGTTGGGTGAGTGACAATCTGCCGGAGTTTTTCGATTCTGGATGCGGTTCGTCTGGATGGGCTTGTCTGGGACGCTCCCGTTGGATTACCTACCAGGTCAGGGTATTTCACAAACTTGTTAGCAATGATATTCCATAGCATATGGTTTGATACAGGTAAATACCATTCAGGATGAAACTTATAGTGTACTTCCCAATTCGAAATATATAATAGAAGCCAATTAGTCCACTCATGAACAATTTTACGTCGGAAAACCAATCGCACAGTTGTTTCATGGTCGACTTCGCCAGCTGCTTCATTTCGTTGGCGTTGGCGACTGATCTGAAAACTGATCTAGTTTTCATTTATATTAACTTTCGTTATATAGTCTTTCGCTTGGATCCTTACGTCGACTAAGATGACCACATCCTTTCAGGTTCGCTCATTTTCATAGTAGGCTGGTCCTTCACAGGCCCCGGTAATATGTGTCAATCCTAATAGCGTTAACGTGGCACTGGTTGAACCATTCATGGTGATTTGTCCAATATTTTGTTAGTATAGTTTCAGCGTACTGTAACAATGAAGTAATGACCTTTCACCAAAGTACCACAGTAATACATCAATTTAGTGACTTCCTATTAACCACGTCCGTACGTGCTGCGGCCGAATCTCGTTGCGCCGCAATATCCTAACCGAAATGGAGTCGCTGAAATATACGAATTCTGGTTCTGGACACTTTTTAACGTCTCTGAGAGATACAGTCAAAATAGTCACTCTCTTATTATGCAATCGTACGAGATTATCTCGGTTACCGATACAAAATAATGCATGACCAGCAAGAGAGCAATCATTAGGAAAATCGGGATCATGCTGCATTTTTCCATCTCATTGCCAAAAACTGACGACGGGTGCGTGGATGCTCCTACCAACTGATCGATTATTTGTAATGAGATTAAACAATCAGTACATTCATTAAATGATTCAGAGTAAAATAAACTAAAGAGAAGTTAAAACAAAATTCACCTCATAGGACATCTGCTGTCAATCCGGGACTAAGATAGACACTAGTTCGAAAAAAACTTACATTAATAATTACGGTTGAAGGGAGTTTACCCCGGGCTCTTTGAATAGTACATTCACCTTACTCATTAATTCCACTCTCCGTCATTCAGTTCTCATTCTCTTATTCACCCAGTTATATTCTCACCTAGGTTCAGTCGATCTGATTCTCTCCAAATCAGAATGAATAGAGAAACTCCAACCTTTCAGGTTGTTACTGTAGGTTACTGTTTCTATTACCTTTATAACTTTCCTGAAAAATTATCTAGGATTGCCGCGATCATCCCTAGCGAATGGTGGGTTGGCACACACAATTCACAATTCCGTTAAGGGATGCAGTTCGAAATCCTACCAATCAAAAACCTCTGGAATTATTTTTTAGACTGGTAGTGTTATCGCCATCTCCATGTCCGGCGGATACGTCCGCGCAAATTGCCGACAGGTCTCCGCAATTTCTGATGTAGTGTGCCTGCTACTCATACATAGATGTCGCTGCAATAGCTATTTCAATATTTTCATTCTTGGCTAGCATTTATTTCCTTATTAGGCAGTTAAAAGTAACTCGTCTGTGACACTCGACCTCTCAGAAAATAAATTTGGTTTATTTATTAGATTCTTTTAAGTATCTCTTTACAGTTATTTTTAATGGGTTCACAGTGGATATCTTTCCGACCCGTTGAATAATGAGGTTGATTGTTCATAAAATTTTTCAAAACATAGAAGTAGTTATTTTTAACTTTCACATGGCTTTGCCCCATTTGATCTTAAGATCATTACTGAAAGCTGCTAGAAGATTCCCTTTTTTAACGATTCACATTCATATTTCACGAAAAATAATACGAGTATAACTTATACTTTGTAACATAGATGGTTTTTGTTATATTGAGGAACTTTTTATATTCATAATTTATTTTGCTTTTTGATAACTGAATAAAAAAAAATCATTTCAATTTATAAAGTAATTGAGATATGATGAAAAAAAAAAATTAGAACTGTAACAATCCAAATATCCCGAATGCTGAATCAACTCGACCTTCTACATGCTCCATTGAAAGGGATGATCGAGGGGGGGGGACAGTCTAATGCAAGCGGTCATCGTACGTGTATCAATTAATATTTTGACTTTGTCTGTCACATATAAAATATTTTCGCACCATTCAAAATCATCCTCAATTTTCAAAACCACCCACAACCAAAGAGTAAATGGTATAAGACTTATTTATTCTCAAATAATCAAAAAGCTATAGTCAATATGACTATATATGATGGAATTGGCAGATACTGGAAAATCCATACAGCATGCAAAAAACACTTTATTGTGAGATTTTCACCAAACATTTGTACAGCAACCTATCACGTTTTTCGCCATATAATGGCTTTTTTGGGCGTATCTTTACTGTTACTGTAAAGACACGCCCCAAACTAAATATATAAATCCAATTGTTCATTAAATTTGCAGGCAAAATTTATAGGTATGACAAAATACTGCCTGATTGGACTCTTCAGTATTTTATATTACGTAGTCACTTTTCTGGGTGACCTTTCAGTTTATTCTCTATTACAGATTCTCTATTGATCCTTTTTTTTAAATTTTCATATTTCAGAGTAACAGCAAGAAACGTTTACTTCTTCACAAAAATGGCTTTCAAGAGATAAAGATTAATAGAGTGATTGAACGTTTTCTGTAATTTTCAGGAAACCCTTTTCGTAGCTAGAGTTGTATATGACTTACTTTTCTTCTTTGTTGTTATCATAATTGTTCTCAATTTGATATTTGGAGTTATCATTGACACGTTTGCTGATTTGAGATCTGAGAAACAAGAAAAGGAGTTGAATCTGAAGAATACTTGTTTCATTTGTGGTATGTATACTTTTTGGCTTTCAAAATAACAATTAGTCAATTTTCACAAAAAGATAGTATATTGTGATCAGGTCATCGATAGTTTTACCAAATTCAGAGAAGGAGATTATCAATAGGACACATATGCAAGTAATATCATTTCAACTGCAATATTTTTACTTGAAATGATTTATGAGGGCTACCAAACAAATGTACAGAAATGTTATATGTATGGATTATGTATGATTATGTATGGATTATATGTATGTTAAATGTTATATGTATGGATGTATATTCGTATGTACGTATGTCTGTCCACGCGTTTCTCCGAAACTATTTTTCGGAATCTAACCATTCTTTTTCTTCTAACTATTTAATTCGCTTCACAAAACAGCGCAGAATTGGTTTTATAGTTTTCAGGATATGAACTTATGAACTAATATGATAAATGTGACAGCTTGGCTTATTGAAACGAGCTACATTGTAGTATCAAAGAACAAACATACCAAAACTTTGGTCAAAATCTAGTGCATCTAAAACAAATACCTACTTTTCCCAATCACCAGAAATTCAATACCCTTCTCAATGCGCGTTTCACCAACCAAATTGACGTCTCCACGAGATGAAGTAAACTGTTTAGTGGTGATTGGGAAAAGTACTTGTTTTGTATGTATTCCACGCCAGAAGTTCCAGTTTCACCTTTTATTAAATTCAAGTGCATGAAAGAAAAAAATGAAAATGACCGAAACTAAAATGGCCGAAACCAAACTGTCGAGGTGTTAAAAATAACGGTTTGGTGTTGGGATAAAACTCCAGTAATATTCATTACTACACCGAAGGTTCCAAAGCTTTGACTTTCCGTATTGGTTTCATTTTTCCAATAGTTCATGATTAAATAAATTGTTTTTCTGTTTGATTGTTGTCACTGATGATGGTGGTTATTTCAAATGAAACGCTTCAAAAATATCAAATGTGTAGGTACCCTTGGATTGTGAATTTATCGCTTTATCAATGTCTGTAATGAAGAAGACACGTCTGTATTTAAAAAAAAAGTTGATGGTGGCCATGTTGACATGAAACGTTTTATCGAATATTTATTATTACATCGTCATAGTACCCTTGGAATACAACAACATTTTCCTTTTCCATTTTTTGATATTCTCCGAAATAACAATTCCATTCGAAAAAAAAAACGAAAAACAGTATTTTTGGTTTTCCCCGTATAACTCGAGAAGGGCGAGAGTCCCCGTAAATTTTTTTCGACCATTGTATTGTTCCCGATGACAGTTACCTTCTTTCCCATTTAATCGTCTCTGCATCTGTTACGGTTAAGAATCTCATAGGACATCTGCTGTCAATCCGGGACTAAGATAGACACTAGTTCGAAAAAAACTTACATTAATAATTACGGTTGAAGGGAGTTTACCCCGGTAAAACAGTATTTTTGGTTTTCCCCGTATAACTCGAGAAGGGCGAGAGTCCCCGTAATTTTTTTTCTACCATTGTATTGTTCCCGATGGCAGTTACCTTCTTTCCCATTTAATCGTCTCTGCATCTGTTACGGTTAAGAATATAGCAATACCAAATGATGAAAGTAACGACCTGTATATATATGGGGCAATGGGGACAGCGAAGTATTCAGCAATGAAATTTCAAAATACGTTGTTTTACATGCGTTTCGACCGTTTTGCCTGCGTTAATTCCTTAAATAAACAATGCCGTTTTAGACCAAAATCACATGCTTTTTCTTATGATGCTTCAATCTGGTCCTTTTCAGACCTCCGATAGGAGCCTTGTGGAACAACCAACTTGAGGTAGGTGTAATGTGTGTAAGAGTGAGACGATGAGAGAGAAGGTGATGACGTCACTGTGGAATAGAGAAAAATTAAAGATGGTGACATACCGTATCTTTATAAATAATAGTTGGATCTCAACGTGCAGCACATCAATTGAAAGGGAAACGAATGCAGAACTCATCGACAAAGAAAAAAGGAAAGACGATGCCAAGCGGGCACTAAGTTGTATCTTTGCTAATATACGTCGCATCATCACATATAGCACATCATATAAAAAAGGAAAGGAAAGCTGAATTCATGGACAATGACACTGTGTCAAAAGGGCACCAACTCACATCTTCGCGGACAGATTATTATGTACAGCACATGAAAGGGGCATAGATGTTAGGTTAGGTTAAGTCAAAAGTGAGTGGGTCTATTCGTCCTTCCACCGAAACCCGCAAGGGTTCATTGTGGCTCACACCTATTCACACTCGACCAAATAAACCCAGCGACTTAATAAAGCCGATTAGTATATGCTCTGATGTTTCATCATTTTTCAATCAGAGGCGACACACACTGTCTTTCGAGGGCATAGATGTTGAAGTTAATGAGGAAACGTCATGGTGACATGTCGAATAAGTATTAGGTGTGCATGTGAGGAAAGAATTTTCAAATTAATTTGAGAGAGAAGTTATAGAGATGTTAATGAAAAATATGAAAATTTGATCATCCACTTTTGACAATGACATCTTTACGTTACATACAAACATGTATCCCATAAAGAAAAAAACATCGTATAGGTACTAAAACAAATGATATATTTGGATTCCTTATGGTGAGAAGATTTCGAATCCATCAAGGACAGGTCACTTCCGGTCGTCCGATTTCAATGACTTTGACACCAATGGATTCGTCTCGATGTCAAGAAACATAATTGAGCATTTTCAGAAGTGTGAAAGATTAGGAGGCTAACTTCGTTATTATGCGGAAGATGATGCGGGTACTCTTACATCGTATTGACGGTTATGTTTCAAGAAAAAGAGGGCGTGTTAGTAATATTCATATTATGATGTTGAACTCTTGATTAGCGATTTACTGTCAGAAGCAATTGTAATGTCTTTGAAAGAATATAAAGGCGAAGAAGAGAAAAATTTGAAAAGAAGATGTTCATCTTGAGAAAAAACATTTTATTTTCAAGAATAAAAGTTTTTTTATATTCACTTATATTCTTATATACTCTCACGTCGCGAACATTATTGCATTTCGCTAGTCTTTGATCGTAATCTCGAATGATGAGTTTGATTTTAGAACTCAAATATAGAGATAATTGTATACACGTTTTTAGAATTCTGGAATGATAATTGTAATTTGTATATAAATACTTCAGTGTATGATGATAATGGAGATAAAAAACAGATTATTGTTGAGATAACCCTAAGCAGGTCTGACATGGACTGACATAAACATAAAAAACCCAAATCGTCTTATATAAAAGCAAAAAGGAAAAATTCGTTCAGGCCAGTCTCAACTCCCTACACTGGAGGTTAATAGACTGACACCTATCAGAAAACAAATACTACTCCCCTGGCTAATACCACGAAGGACGTGAGGTTACGAAAAACTATATAAACTTTGTCTATCGTGGAACCGTGAAAAGTCTGTTCCTGAAGAAATAAATCAAAATCAAGAAGCCAGTGTTTTGGACTACACCATGAGACGACTACCCACAATAACAATTATCCGTGTAGGCGTATTTAACTCGAGATTGTTATTGAACATAATCGGTGTGGATATGTTCAATATAAACAACGTTGAGGAGAATATGAAAAGAGAAATAAATAATGTTTTTGCAATGACTTGTGTGATATTAGCACGTGTACTTTCAATTGCGAAAGTCATATTGAAACTTGTTGAAAAAAAAGTGAATCTACATGTAATATAAAATTTGATGAGTATATGAGCTGTTTCATTTTTATGTCACTATTACTGAATAAATCGTTCGAGTAGAAACTGATTTTTTTTTAGTGTCGAGTTTTTGCATTTCTATGGTGATTACCCACCTGAACCTGTTTCTTATTTTTGAAGGGAATTCTTTCTAGCTTACATACATTTTGAAGGAATGCTGTTCAGAGCAAATCATTTTGATGATACAATTCGGAATTTAAAGTGATCATTCCGTATGGATGCAGTTCTTGAAAATTATTTTACAGTACCGTTGGATGCCGATTGAAATCTGGATAATTATTTGAGGAAATATCATTTGATTTCTGAAGTGAATTATTTCTTACATTTCATTTTGAATTATGTTACAATTGAAGTATTCAGTATTCTTTATCTCTCCCCAACAAACCTATTCACAGCAACGCTCAATGCCAACGCGTGCTCACTTACTCGTGTATCAGAAGCCTGGAATAATAACTGCAATTTGTATATAAATACTTCAGTGTAGTTTTAACATTGTAACGTGCCTTTTTAGTTACGGGTTTATGCAGTCACGCTTTTTATGACAAGCATCTATCGGTTCACCACAGTGGAGTTCAAAGTATGTTGATAGCAATATTTGGGCGCCAGGTAAATTTAATTGCCGATATAGAATGCCTAAGTATTAAACTATTCCTCCAATTTACCTAGTGGAATAAAAAAATAAATGACAACGTACCAAGCTTGTATTACAAGATCTCTTATTATGGCTTTGTACAACGGTGTGACCGATTGGTAACAGTTGGAAACAAAATGAATAAATTCACCGGAACATAATTTCTATAAAAAAAATAACAAATGAACAAAAAAAATTCGCGATTTCTGCACATCAACTCTCGAAAGAGTTCTCTCAAAATAAATAAACTCCCGTTGACAAAAGAACTAACTCAATATATCTATATACATACATATATACACAAGGACATGAAAATATAGGATTCAATACCGTACAACCTNTAACAACTTCTTTGAAAATGTAGGTTGGGCACACTGACAAACCAGATGTGTCCCTAGCTGTGACAAAAAGTTCGTCATCAATAAATGACAATTCTGTCGATTCCATAATAAATAAACGAACAATATCTACAATATTTACAAGTAAATTTAGACCGTTTCAAAATGGACTGACGTAAATATAAAAAAACCAAATCGTCTCATATAAAAGCTGTTTGGGGAAAAATGCAAAACAATCAACTCAACATACTTGATATAAATAAATTGCACCACACACAGTTTCAATCAAAATGTGGTAGCAGAGCGCTTTACC